GCTCCACGTCCACCACCCTTTATCCCCCGTCTTCTTGTCCCTTTTAATTTCTGTCTAAGAGCCAACCTCTACTCTCTTTCTCCGTCTTATTATACGAGCTCGTCGTTTCGCGAGGCGTCGCGACGATTTTATTTATACGCGCCGCAAACCACCCGCGTCTCGGTGGCGTCGCGATGCAATGAGAACGCGAGCAGACGTGCCGGACCAACCGCGTGCAGCCAAGATGGGCGAAGGGAGGAAGAGGATGGGAAACGTAGAGCAATTCGTTTCGCATTTTATATCCGGCCGCAGGAACCGTCGCTGATTCACCCCCGTGGACGACACCGTAAACGGGAACGCGGATTATTTCGATCCTTGGTGAGGTTTACTGAACCTGAGACAGCCTCCGGGGAATTCTTACATTCCGGTCGGTATAAACAAGATTCTTGCTGAACGACGCCGATACATCGACGGAGTTACAGTGTGATCCGTTAAAGACCACGACAAATTTTTTGACCCGCAAGTCCAATGGAGATTATGTGCAACAGGACAGTTCAGTCTGAGAAGCTATCGAGTGTATGTTATAGAAAGTTCACACTCACGTGAAAGTTACAATCTTGTAGTTAAATTGTTCTTATATAAGCCGCTCGTTTGCCAAATGAATTTAACTCCGTGAAATAAAGAGTAGAAAATATCGATGAAACTTGGCCTGTGAGCGGTGCATACTGTACCTATATACCGTACTTATTATAATATTACGCGAATGTTCTTTCTTGGTCACTAGCGCATCCCTTTCTGCCACAGATTATGTAACTTCTTAAGCAATTATAAAAAAAATAATTCTCCAGAAAGATTGCAAGGATTATAACTTGTTTCTCGGAGAAGCACCTGTATCCCATTTCGTATACCTTCTCATAATCCCTGAAATAAATTGGGAAAGAAACGTTTAAACGCAAATCCAATCCCCTAAACGGTTCTGTACGAATGCGACGAAATTTCAAGGGGTGACAGCGGGGAAGGAACGCGTATTTTCCGAGAACTTGTACGAGAACGGAAGGGTGAAAGGGCCGCTTAAACATCACGGTAAACAGGGGCCGGTGTAATTCGGATGCTGGCGCAGGTGTTACGCGGAAACATCTATCAAGATAGCGAGATACGAGTCAAGGGGGACGCTTTCGTCCTCTGTAAAGAGAACGGCATGGATTGGGGAGGGGGAGAGGTAACTGTGGATCAACTCGAAGAAACGAGGGATTTCACGGGACAGGACGCACTAAGCTTCCACGAGGGTGCTCTCTGGCTCGTCTTAACCCTTTCCGCCTCGTAACGGATCGCGTGGAATTAACTTTTCTTCAGGACGCGCGACTCTTCCAAGAGTTTGTCCAGGAACTTCCTTTGACGTGACGTGAATTAGGAGGATCTTTATTTTGGATTTGGATCAGAATTTCGTGAAACCGGTAGCTTTAATATGTGTCTTTACGTTTATAAAAAATAGTTATTTAATTATGGATATTGTTAGACTGGAGTGTTTATGCAAATCGATATGAAGTACGATGAACGATACTATGTGTCGTTATATTCAATAATTTGCTGTTAATGAAACTCGGATTTAGTGTTCCACTACCGATTAATCGATTAATACATTTGATAACAACACACACGAACGTAACCAATAAGATAATTCCTAGAAATATTTCTCGGTCTTCACGGTTTCGATTATGGTCTACTCATCTAACTCAATGTTTTCTATGCTAGTGCTTTTTCATGACGTGCGCAAACTATGTTTCCAATGCTGAAATTATTTAGAATAACGATAACACGAGTTCTATTTATAATGCGGTGCGTATGGTATGTCGTCGGTTTTGATTAGGATAAGAATCTATGAATATTTCATAAAGACACTTCAGCCTTTCTGAACTTCGTACAACGATAAAAAAGAAACACAGCCACGAAAAGAATATCAAGCGTATTCTGGGAATTTCTGACCACAAACACAATTTTAGAAATTCGAATTCGATAATACAAGTTGAGTCTAAAACGCTGGTCCTAATGATTTAGATGTACCCTATTGACTTTATGGATCTGATGAAACTTACATCTGATCCTTTTTATCTCGATCCAGCAAATAAAAGGAATATTCATGCTAATAACGTTAAACAGATATCTCACTGATACCCGAAAATATTTGAAAAAACTCGCTCCCACTCATCCCCTTCTGAATTTCCTTCGAATTTATCGATTCGTCGTAAATGCCTACTATCATAAGCGGTCGTGAAACTCACAATCGAATGTCGAAAACTAAACGATTCCCGTGCACACGCGCCACTGCCATCAAACTCGCGGAGAACTTGGGGATGATAATCCTGCGAAGGCGCATCGGCAATTAAATTCGCGTTTCCCGGAGAACGAAACGAAAGGCGGCATATCCCGCGAGACTAATCCCGGCCCGCTATAAACAGCAGTCGAACGATTAACCGTATCATTATGAATCATAAGAGGAACGAAGGCAGCGGCTTATTAATTGCGATCGTTCCGAAGCGGCATTCCGCGTATGGCAAATTGCCGTAAGGTAACGCGAACGACCGTAAAATGTAACCTCGCCATCTCGTTGGCTGGAATCTCGAGCGCGTGTTCGTTTCTTTTCCCCCTGCCCTCTCTTTTCCCCTTTTTTCCGTTCTCTCTTTTTCATTTTAATTCGAGCATCGATGGGGAGAGCGTGAAAAAAAAATCTGTCGACATTTAACTGGAGGCAGCGAGCCACTCGTAACGCGTTCCATATATCAGCGATGCGTTCGTGGAATGTTGCTGCTAACGATTATTGTTCGAAGGTCCGCGTACGATGAACGATAATAAAAAACGAGTACAAAGTGCATATTTTCAGATAGACTAATTTAGCTTGGAATAATACATACATAATTTAACACACGATCAGATAGTTGTTCAGAGATCGGAATTAGAAACCGTGCGGAAAGTATTCCAAGAGCAGAGGCAGCACGCCTTGTCGAGCTTATCAGCCGCACCTGCAGCCGCATTCTAAGCGGATGCAGCCACCTACGAGGGGCCGGTTAACCTGTTCCTCGCGACGATCGAGATCCTGGTCAGCAGACGATACCAGCGTTTGTATACCGCAGAAACCCGCGGCGATGGGCTCGCGGTGTCTCGCATTTTTCGCTATCGCGTTTATGGCGAGCGGAACCGAAAATCTCGCCGGAGTACACGCGCTCGTGAGTGCGTTTATCGGTAGCGTCAAAATTCCACAGAATTTACGGTATTCTTGTTTCGATATACGAACGTCGAATACAAGGAACAAGAGCACAGAGGCGAACAGCGAAAAAAGAAGAAAAACGAAGAAGGTAGAATAAAGAGAAAAGTAGAACGAGGCGGTTTACTTGTCTCGGAAATCGGTCGAGAGCGAAGAAAGACGATCTCTCTGTCTCGCTCCCTCGACGGCCCAGATACGAAAATCGTAAAGTCGCTACATAATAGCGGCTAGTATAATCCGGTACGGCACTTCGCGCCGAGATTAAAGGTGCATAAAGCGGGCTCGCATAAACGTTTTACAGGCTGCTCGCCTACCTGGCTGCCAAGCGTGCAAGCCGCGCGAACGAGATATTATTTTGAACGTCTCGTTACGTCGCTGCGTGGCCGGCTTCGACAGTGTTACGGTTTTATTCCGCGGGAAATATTCGCCTTACCCGTGTTAACGCGTGTGGTCGAACCGCAGCGAATAACAGAATAGAACAACCGTGGTACGGTTTTAAAGAAATAATCGTCGAACAATGCGACACTCTGAGGGTCGTTAAGGTTTACGACCGGTGAAAGTCGAACGACGATGACTGTCGGATAGGGAACGTGGGAAATGCGGATAGAGAGATAGCGAGATGGAAATTAAGAAAACGATGTTGTCACGTCCTTTGTCTTTTCGTGATTTATTTACCTTTACTCGGATCGATAAAATTTTGTTCTCGATAAAGGTGCCATTTGTAAATTTTCGATAATAAAAAGATAAGATTTCTCAGATTGGCACATTCTACTTTGTTGTAACTACGAGTCGCAAAAATCGAATTCCTAAATTCCTGGCCGACAGACCGATACGTCAAATTCTTTTCAGCTTGCTTCAATAGCTTTCCTTCGAACGGAACGCGAAAACCCATTGAAACGGCAGCTTTATCTTCGACAAGGGGCACGCCAGGAATCCCGCGGGCTCAACAATGCCGTCTAATGGTGGTGCGGAGACAGGTATCGCGGGAATTTCGAAATCTACCACACGGTTGCGTACGTTTCAAAGTGTTGTCGATACAGTTCTCCGTATTTCGCGCGATCGACGCGTTCAACTAATCTACTTGTCTCTGTTTGACTAGCTTAACCGACGAACTTAATGCGATTCAGATTTTATGGATAACATCGATGTCGTAACCAGGCAAGAGGAAAAAGAAATTTGTGTTTCAATGAGGCTAAGATTGAGAAAGTGTCTCTGGTTGGAAAACGAAATATTAACTGTCTGTGAAAGACTGTAATCGATTTATATATACCTATTAAGTTGTCCGAACAATTCATAGCGTGTTTGACACCAGTCGAAGTATTCTATTTAGTATTTGATTGAAAAGAAGTTCCTAATTGTATTGATACTAAAAGAGACTAAAATGAAATATCTGTATCCGATTAATAATAAAGTTTCGTCTCTTTTACGATAAACTGATGAAGATTAAAATATTGAATCTGAATGGAATGTTGAATTTTATTCACAGAATGTAACAAATCGCGCTGTCATTTATTCAGGCTCCTATAAAACTCTTTTAATTGTTAGAAATAAAATACTCTAAGAACTTAATGAAACTCGAGTAAAATCTCTAAAGTGAAGTAAGAAAAAAAAGGATGAAAACCTTTTCGAGAAAAATTCGTTGAAAAAGAATCATTGAAGAAAAATGAAGATTATATATTTATGTAATAAGACTAAATTTTCACATATTTCGCTACGAGTTCTTCGAACAGTTTAACGCAATAAATTTTCTCGTGGCACTCACCAGTTGTTAACTTGGAGAATCGTCAACCCCGTGTCCTGAGCCAGTTGCTTCTTCTGGTCTTCCGAAGGGTACGGATGCTACAACAAAAAGATACGAACGAACTTAATAACTTTCTTCCTCTAGAAATCTAATTACCACGTACATTTTACAAAATATCATAATCACATGCTATCTGCGACTAACTCAACGAATCTTCCCCTTCGATGGTAATACTCGAAAACATTTCTAGCCAATGTTACATCTTCCTTACTATACGCGAGAGTAGTCGAGGCGAGCCAGTCGCAACTTACGCGTTATTTACGACGACACAGCGTCGAAGCGAGGGCAAAGCCCGGGTCGTTCCGCGTTCCCCGGCAGTCTATGCTTTTAAACAATTTATCGAGTGATTTATCGCGTAACAGGTAAGTGCACAGAGCGCATAGATGGCACGGGGGACTTTTATCTGCGCGACGGCAGTCGCATTACTGGGCATCGCGTCGTCTGGACGCACCTGCGAAATGCTATATGCTATATTTATTGCTGGGCAACAACGACAATAAAAAAAAGAGAGAAGAAGAAAAAAGAGAAAAAAGTAAGAGAAGAGTGGTAGAAAAAAAGGTCGTCCCTCTATAACGGAGCAACAAGCGTTTTATCGTGTTGTGTCGATGCAGATGCACGCACGACGATCAGTCCTTCGATGCTCGTATTGGCTTTCAGGGAAGACAGAGTTTACGAGAGGCCATTCAAGATATACGGGAGAAAGGTCAATGGTGGAGGGACACGTTCTGGATAGGCGGTTTACAAGATAATCTCTGTGTCGCGAATTATTGAAGGAAATCGACGGATCCGCGGCGATAAAGCCCTCGGAAACGACAGCTTTACATGACCAAGCTGGATTTAGTGGTCGCAAGAAAGGTCGTAGCAACTTCGTTGCTGGTTGCACGCTATGTCGTTGTAAATTATTCTCTTGTTGCGTTTTAACGTTACCCTTTTGCAGAAACTTGTTTCCTAACGGCACATGGACGATGTTAACTTTGCGAGCTATAACTTTGTTGCTAAAATGATTCCCCAACGAGGCGCACCTGTAATTATGGTTTTACGTCGGTCGTACAAAAATTGTTGATTAAATGGAACATGTTGCAAGATTAAATATTTACGATTAAAGCGCCGAGACTTAAAACGTTAATGCTTAATAAAGCGAATGGAATTTCACTCCATGTGAAGTTCGTTTTATATCATCGCAAACATTGCGGCAACTTTCCTATTTTTAATACTTTTGATAATAAAACATTTAATAAGTTATTCGTTTCTGTAACGAAATTTAGAGGATGATTATCGATTACTGATTATCGATTTCGAAAATTAAAAAATATAAACTAAGGTGAAACTACAGTATTTACTTGGTTTTATTTGTATCTTAGACAGTATTTAAGAGTTAACTACGTCAAAGTCATAATATAATTCTAATTTGTCGAAATAAAATTATACATATATAAACGCCACTTTAAAATTCTATCAGGATACATTCAGATTCTCGCTTGCCGTACCGAAAAAATGATTCACTGTGACACAAGTGGCGAAGGGAGCTCGCCATTGGCAAGAGCTCAAAGGCGCGGCGGCGAAAGCGGAGCTAGATGCATAAATGATGCACTCCTCGGTTATTCCATCGGTCTTGCTGCGCGAGTCCATAAATTCGTGTATAAATCTCATCGTTCTCCAAGCGAAGTTACTGCTCGCATTAATTTCGCACTTGCGGCAACACCAACCGCTTCGATGCACGCCGAGCAACAGGAAGACGAACGACACGTGCCCGAACCTACGCGCGTTACAACGAAAACATTCCCGCGAAATGTCTTGGTTCGTAAATTGGTGTTAATCCCTGAAAAATATAATCTGTGAAAATTTGAAATTTAAAGGTGCGTCTTGATTCAAATCTTTCATACTTGAATATTTTAAACGTAATAAAAACAGTACGATCACTGATCAAGAAAAAGTGAAAATAAATTACCATCTATAAGTACCTAGATACATTAATTTTGTTAAAATGTACAATTTTATTGGTTTATATTACTTATTAAAAGACGGAGCAGTTATATTCCCTCTTTTTGCTATTATGTTTATGTTTTTCAGATATCATTATTCGAAATATCAGTAATTTTTATAGTAATTTAAAAGAAACTTAATTGTACGATTTATAATTTCGAAATCAAGCCAATTAACACCAAGAAATAATTTTATTGCCATAAACAGAATAAGGATCAATATTATTCTACATTCTTATAGCTATGATTTTATAACTGAATAACATCCTGTCAAAGATAAACAAGTTTCCGAACACTATTAAACGATATCATACGTAATTTATGGATGTTACAAATAACTGAATCAATTTTACACAAGACTAAAATGCTAGCTGAATGGCCTGTCAGAGCATAGAATCATATCCTGCATTATGAAGAAAAAAGAACGCACGCGATCCGCGGATAATCACATTAATTACATCACGAGCTACACGAAACGCTCGTCCCCCGGGGACAATGCGTCGTGCATCTTAATTTTCATCTCTTGTATTAATTCCCACCGCGATATTAAAGTCGTCACTGAACAAACAAATCGAGGTTACCATGGATCCATTTATCATAGGAAGCATGGAACTCGTACGAATGTCGAACTTACGTACGTATATTGCTAGACCTGTAGATATATCATGTCGCATTTTCACATCAGCAACTTTGTAGTTCTACTCTCATCTAAAACTACCATTCTCAGATTTCTGGCATATGTTCTTGAGAATCTTTAGGAGATTCGAAGTATCTTTCGTCGTAGCTTCACTCATGTTCAAGTCATTCTCCTCATGAAACCTCATTCTTTCAAGCGCTTTAGTGTTATCGTCCTTCTTTCTGATGCCATTGTTGCTTGTTCTTATTTAGGGTATGTATTCTTCGTGTTCCGCGTATCTTCTCACATTCTTTTTTTTTTATTTCTTTGAGTCTTTTTACTGTCTTTCCGCTTCTTTTATGGAGTTATTACATAGTTTTTCTATCCTTTCATTTTCCGCATCTTATCACGATCTCGTTTCTTTATTTCATTACCAGACTCTTTTTATCGATGTAACTTTCTTCTATGTCGTTACACCGCTAGTGTTTCTCCACGCATTCCTTAAGAGCTGAATTCTCTTTTTCTGATACCTTTGTATTACTTTTTCTCTTTTACCTCGTGATTCTCTCGCACTAAAATTTTTATGATCAAGGTATTTTATTTCCATGCTTCCAGTCAACAACGAAGAACATCTAATAAAACGCCTACTCGACAATGCTACTGTCAAAGGTTTCCGATTTTTTTTCACCTCTTCATCCCCCTTTTTCATGTACCTTCGACATCCCCTCGTCGACCTCACGATCATTTCTTAATCGGGGAATGTTCAACCGGAGGAATGAGAAGTGTCTGCAAGATTCATTCAATTCGCGGAGTGTTACCTGTAACTTTCTCGCGGTAATACTTTTAGCGAGTCAAAGTTGTGCATCGTCACGGGTGGCCCCAGCGGGGGTGGGGCGACCCTCCTGGAAAAGCATCGGCGGCGGTACGGAGGAGGGAGGAGGGTGGGCAGGCCAGAACGGACCGCCGCGAGCACTTAAGACTATTGTTTTCAATGTAATTGGATAGCTGCTGCCTTCTCTCTTTCCCTCTTTGTCCCTTTTACTTCCGCCTGCCTTCCGTTCCGGCAGCTACCACGATCCCAGACGAGGGTGGAAAGCAGTCAGCCAGCCGGTCCCCATGTAGCTTCAACAATTATCTTGATTGTTTTATGCATACACCAACGAGGCGGACGCGACTTTGGCCAATAGGAGGGGAGAGACGGTCCTTGGATTTTGCGAACGAAACACGATCCAGTTGAAACTCCTTCGGACTTTTCCGCTTGTTCCTGCCTTTCTCGGTTAATGATAAATCTGTCGCCAGCCAATTTTTCTCTTTATTGTTTCGTCAAGGACAAAAGTGGTTTCGGTTACATTTCTCTGAACATCAGTTACTGACGCGAATTTATTTCAAAAAGCTGTGTTAATAATACACAGACGAAGGAATTAAATGTTTCTAGATTACTTGCTTTAAATCATTCCTTTATACCTTTCAAGGATTATTTAACATTTCTCAGTTTGAAAATAAATATAACAACTGCCCGAAGAATTCAGAATGAAAGTAAAAATATACAATTACAAAATACGTGAATCTATATTAGAAAATTTCTTCAAACGAAATTTTAAATCCTCGTCTGTTCATACTTTCGATAGCTCGTCTGCTCACGACAAGCAAAACACGTTCGCTGTAACTTCCCACTGATTTGCACCCTCGTATTACGTTCCTCGTTATATTCCTCGCTTCCTACATAACAAAATTCGTATCCATAATTTTCCATCAAAGTTTCTTTCTCCCTTCGAGTCCCAAACTCGTCACGACTTGTCTTCCCAAAATAATTGGCGTCTCTCAATCCTTCGCTCTTTATTTAGCCACGATCAATCCTCGTCGAATACGCAGCCACGTCTCAATCGACCCTCTCGCGGCTGTATACCGTCGGTATGACGTTACCGCCGCAAATGGAGAGAACGCTAGGTAGCCAGGCAAGATCCGATAGAAACTCCACGGGCAGACAATGCTCTGGGCCGATTTAATTAGGATAAGAATCGCTTGGATCGCGTATACACGGCCGCACAATGGGCTTTCACGGAGGGGGTGAGGGAGGAGAGCGGTTCGAGCGGAGAGGAGAGTCGAAGCCACGCTTCTGTTGCATGTATACTATGGCTCGCCTCCAAGAAACATGATATACAACGGGGTAGAGGAATTGGCGGCGGGCTTACAGCGGTTTCCAAAAATACCGCAGGCTTCGGGAAAAAGTAACGAGCAAAGGGGGGAGGTTAACCAGGGGGGTACGAGGGACCGGGAACGTAATACCGCGAGCGCCACGTGCTAATTATGTAAAAATATGATGCGGTTCGGTCGCTTGCGGTACAGCCGCGGGCTTTTATGCGCAGCCGGATCCGCTCGCGCGTTCGTGCGCGCTACCATCGGGTTTGGCATCGGCTCGTGGGGCCCGATATTCTCGTCG